CCAAAGGCCCTAAGACTTTGGTTTTACGAACTTGGTGGCAACAGGGCAGCTATTAATTGTTGGTATGTTACCAACAGGTTTCCTACTGTAGATTTAAAGGAAGCAAGCTCACCAAGCTAGCTATTAATTGTTGGCCTGCTACCAGGAGCCTGCCAAAAAATGTTGGCAACATGTCAGCTATTAATTGTTAGTATGTTGCCAACAGGCTGCCCACTACAAGCCCAACGGAAGCAAGCCCAACATGCCAGCTATTAATTGATGGCCTGCTACCAACAGGCTGCCAAAAAGAAACACGGGACGGGCCAAGCTTACCTAGGCCGGACCTCATCCGAGCTGGGCCTTGGTGCTTGGTCACGAGTTTAGGGCTTGACACGGCCCGACCAATGGCCCGGGTGGATACCGGGCCGGGCTGGTTCAAGGTTAAATACGGGCTAGGCCAGGCAACCTGCGATTCAGCCCAGCCCACACCCACCCCTAATTAGCAGCAAAAATCTAAAAAAATGTGCGCTATTTATGACCCAATTCGATATAAAGCCAAATTGCCTAGAATACATATCAAGATGACCTCAATTCCTGAAAGTTATGAAACTTCAGTGTCAGTGTCTGATAAGCTGATTATAAAGCACCACCAAAAAATTTGAAATTCAGAGAATAATAGAGGTACAAGAAAAAAGAGGTGTTTAATTAAATACAAATTCCTTACTTACTAAGGACCCTCCCAAAAGGATATCCTTTTCGGATTTTTGTCAAATAGTGAACTGTAGCTGTGTGCTTTTCAATCTACTAGAAATCCCACATACCTTTTGATCTGTTTACCGCCTCAACCACATGGTGTCCAATTTGCTGAGCCCAAAGACAATAATTTGGACTAAGAAATGTAGATAACGTTCAAAATTTACAATTTCCCCACATTAAGAAATTGTTAATAAAGAAATCCTTGGAACATTCCCACAAGTTGTTGAAACTTAAACCTTTTTCTACAGACCTAACAATTGGCTAGAGCGAGCAAAGGACTCATAAGCACTATATCATGTCGGTTCACCGCTCTTAAAAAGCATTGGGCAAAAGATGTTCGAGCCTTTGGATTAAAAGCTAAGTAGCTTAGTAGCATTTTATTAATACAGGATACCATCACGAGTACATCCATGAGACACGACAATTCTTCAAAACGTAGATATGGCAACAAGTCGACATGATAACATAATATTAGAAAATATATAAATATAATGATAACAACTATAGTAATAAAGAAAGTATATGCACGTATACACATGTTCATGCATACAAGAGTCTAGATTATTGTTGCGTATAAGATAAAGCATAAAATGATCACATGTATGCTAATTTTCATACCTACCATTCACTTTTTATGACTTTGGTCTTAACTCTATAGAAAACCTTGAAAACCTAAATACACAAGCTAATATTTTATAGCATCTTCCCCTATAGTCTGTGGAGTATAAATGAAAATAAATGGATATCTCAAATATATCATATGAATAAAGAAGTGTATGTAGAGCATGGATGACTATGTTTGAATAAAGCATGTATTACATAATGGATAACATATTTGAATAAGCGTAGCCACATATCCAAGGAGTGCCCAAGGAAGTGTTTGTGTCGGGTATGGGAGTCAGTGTTCAATATGGGTAGCTTTATGATAGAAGTACCCATGATACACAGATTCAATGTTTTTAATGTTGAATTAGCATTATCATATTTAAGGTCTTTTATGTTTTAGTAGTTGACTTTAGCCTGAAGAGGAATGTCAAGGGTACTAAATACAAATAAGTGAGGAAATGAAGACTAAAGCAGAAGGAAGCATTAGCAATAAGCTGTGATACCAACTCCTTTGCTTAGTTAGCGCTTCCAATAACTCTTGGAATTACACTCTATATTTTAACCCAGAGTTTCTTTACCATTTTCCTTCTTCATCTCTCTCTTTTCCTCCTTTTTTCGTTTTCTTATTGTTCTTCTTCCTTTACTTTTCATTTCTTTTCATTTCTTTTTCCCCCTTGTTTTGGGTGTTCTAAGAATTCTCGAAATCTCAAAGAGACATGATTTCAGATCCTCATTTTGACTAAAATTATGTCATCATCTTGATCGTAGCTTTCCGACTTTAAGGCTATACAAAGTCTATTTGTTTCTCATTGGGAACATATTCTAACAAGTGCTGAATTCAAATCGTTTGCTCTGATTATTGTGTAGACTGACTCTTTGATCTTCTTGCATGACTAAGCTTCAATTCATTCATTTCAAATCCTTTGCTCCTATTTGTTGTGTAGACTCACTCTTTGATCGTATTGCATGGCTAAGCTTTCATTCAGTCAATCCTAAATTCTGGAAGAGTAATCAAGAAAATATATTGCAAGATTCTTTGTCAGGTTTCATAACTCATTTCTATACGACAGATTTCAAATGCCCTTCAGGTAGTGAGTGTGTGACTTCCATATATTCTCTCGAGTTCACAAATGTTAACTCGATTATCGACATAGCTATGTATATCATGCTATCTTTTGCTAGTTCAAGAAAAGAAAATAGCATACTTTTGTGTGCATATCACTAGCTTAATAACCTTGTTTTAAAAGCGGTCTAGGTGCCCATCTGGCCCTAGGCAATGCCTAAAACATCTGTCTAGGTCTTGGGAGAGCATAGAGAAGGTGGACTGCTTATGCGGACTGCACAACTTAGCTCTTCGTCGTAATTTCCTCCAATGTTGCCTCTACGTCCTCCGACTTCCTCCAACGTCCTCCAGCCTCCTCCACAGACTACAAACACCTCCTCCAACCTTCCGCAAAACCTCCTCCACCACCACTTAAGTAAAAAAAAAACTGCCTTACATCTTTGAAAATGGAAACTTTTCATGCATCAAGATATGCAATGAAATAATATGACCTTAGAAAAGTATAGCACTGAGCAGTTAAACTTGTAAGATGATGAGGTCATAATAGCCAAGAAACCCATGACCATCCTAACTGAAATGGGAAAAGGGTGGAAATTTCAGATGCAGGGGAATAATTTTTTTGCAAAAAATCTTTTTGCCACAATTATTGAACTAAAAATTGTATATAGAGATACGTCCAAAATCTTTTGCCACGATTATTGAACTAAAAATTGCATATAGAGATACGTCCAAAATGATTTCCATGCTGCTTCTCTACCAATCATGTTCACAAATAGAATTCTCATCTTTGTGAATGATCACCTTGTCATCATGTGACACTATATTTGCAAGTGTGAAAAATATAAAACACTGCATTGAGTTAAAAGTCGAAATCTTCAAATGACACTAGTTATGATTAATTCCAACTAACTTTAGACTGTTAAGAATTCACATAAAGTTTACACACGAAAAGCTCCATTTGATCTCTTATACCTATATGTATGTACAATATACAGAACCCGTATTAATGAACAGTGTCTATTTAGTGTGCGCAAAAGGGGTAAAAGAATACAAAATACAGCACCTAATATGACTACATGGAAAAGCTGGAACGTAAACCTTCAGGACCTTAAGTTATTTATATAGCAGTCTTTCTGTAGATGGTTTTCATGCTATTTGCCTCCTTTGTAAATGGATAAGGATTCTACTAGTAATTACTGCATCTGAGAGTACAATGGTTTCTTATTTCTAAGTTTTAGTACTTATTTTTAATTAATATAATTTAGTTACCTGTTTGTATGAACTGTAATGTGTTTATGTGGAAAGGGAATATGCAGTGCAGCTCTTGATACAAGTTTTTGGGTTCAATGTAAATAAAATGTTCCCATTATATCTCATAGCTTGTCTCTGTCATATATTACAAAAAAGAGCAACTAGATAAAGACTGATTGAACATACAGAGAAATTTAATCATCACTGACATATAAGTCTAACTAACACAGGTAAAAAGTGGAAAAGTTTACTGTTTTATATCAAGCTCTTATATGGCATTGGCCTCTCCACACCACCGTGTTACTACTGCATTATTATCATGCAAATTAAATATAATGCATAAATTCAACACATATAGGAGGCCCAAAGATGTTGATTAAAAGTACCACTTTACAGTCAATTCTACTACTAATACAGCACCATAGAGTACTATGAAAGGGGACTCTTTGTGCAGCAGTTTGAGTTGTTGCTGTGTGACCTGGAGGTCACAGGTTTCAGCGTGGAAATAGCCTCTTATAAAACACAAGGTAAGGATGCATACAGATACAGTATACCCAAAGTGGAAAGCAAGAGCTTCATGCACTGGGTAGCCCTTTACAAGTAATTATATTTAATTTACATAATTTGTATGCATATTTATATGTTGTGTAATGTGGAAGTGGGACACAGTGAAGCTCTTGATACAAGTTTTAGATTTAATGTATATAAATGTTCAAATTTAATCTCATATTTTATCCCACTCTTCTAGTAATGAAATAAAACAACTAGATAAAACCTGAACTGCACGTTTAGAGAAATTCAACCAACAAACCACTGACACAATGTCTGTCTAACATATGTAAAAATGATGGAAAGCCTACTTTTACATCAAGGTAATGTGACATCGGCATCTCCACAGCCCATTAGTTACTACTGCACTATTCTCATGCAAATTAAATTTAACACAAATTCATCAGAGATAGTAGGCAAAAAAAGTCTGATTAAAAGTTACAGTCACTTGCTATAATTTTAGTGTTCCTTCATGTCAACAAGGTATAGTAAATCTAATAGTAAGAAAGGCTATACATTTTACACAAAGAACTCTTGATCTGTGGTCAACTAGAAGTTCTCTCATCATGCATGTTCATAAAAATTTGCAAGCAATGCGAAAAAGGTCATAAGAAAATTGTGGATAACAAGATAGATTGGGTGATATATGATTATATTGTCCTTTATCACTTAGTTGATAGATGGATTGTTTATTAGAGAACTGTTGCGTTCTCAATGCAGGTAACCTCAAAATCACCAACTATACAAATCCCCAACCAAGAAGTGTAGAAAGAAAATGAGAATGAAGATGGGATACCTGCAAATTGTTTTCTTTAATATAATCCCAAATTCTCTTCACAACATCAGACCTTGGTAATTCAGTTTCACCGGTACCAATAAATTTCATGAGAGCATCCGAAAGTTGAAGCGGTGCAAGAAAACCTGTAGAACCCTTTTGCCTTTTGCCTTTTCGTGGAGATTCATCTGAAGCTGTTAGGCACATAAAATGAATATTACTAGATTGCAATTGATGATATTAATATATAAATGATTACCTTTCCTAACCTTCTCTCTCCTTTTTTGGTTTCCTTTCCTTCTGTGCTGGCTTGATGGAACCTGCTAAATCATAGAAAAGAGACAATCAACCATAGGAAAATGATTATGGCATTAAAATTAATCGAAGTATCACTGGGTTTGATGCTAAAATCAAAATGATAAGCACAAATTACATTAAAAAGTGAGAAAATATCTGGATGGCTGACTGATCAGCGAAGAAGTGGATAACTTGGTAAAAAGAGTAACATATTGTTTCTAAATGATACTTGAGAGCTATCTTCCATCAACTTCGAATGACATGGGGACAAAGAATCTATAAGATTAGGTGAATATCATGTGATATTTTCCTTTCTGTTGTGAAGGGAGATTTGTGACACCTCTTTTCCAGTGACACTGAAAAGTGCAGATAGAGATTAAAGCCAAGATTCATATACTTTCTGTGTCTGTGGTTTTATCAAATTGGGTATAACCATTTTCTTCTATCTGATCTTTCATTTCAATGAAATATCTCCTCCCTATTTTTGAAGATACTAGCCATCCAGATTCACATACGTTCCTCATCTATGGTTTTGTCAAATTGTTCTGTAACCATTTTCTTTTATCTATCTGATCTTTTATTTCAATGAAATATCTCCTGCCTACTTTTGAAGATACTAGACCATGAGATTTCTACAGTTACCCTTATCATAGATCTCAAATTATCGTAAGTCTGATTTATCATATGCTTTACAAATTTATAATTTCACTTCATTATGTTGTCAAGTGTTATGTGGCGATTATAATGCCAATCAGGCAAATCATTTCTGGCAAAGTAACTCCACCACAAGTTTTCATCTTTTGGGGTGAGTCCTTAGTTTCCAAAAGAGCAGAAATTCTTCGATATTTAAGGTGAATATATTAGGTTTTCTATGACCTAAATTAGTCTGATTCATGACCTGAGCTGAGCATGTAGATCCCCACCCTTCTTGTCTCAGAGCCATTCATTTTCAGTATTTATGAGGCTGAATTCTGTAACTGCTTAATCCCAGCACAACAGTTTATTGACTTGTTACCAAAAGATGTAGATGACATTCGTCATACATCATGCTTGGCCAAAATAAATCCAACATCCATGACATTGATGACATGTTAACCCTGTGTGTATGTTGTGTGCACATATGCAAGATTACGGTCCTTTCAGCTCACTGAGAGCATTCCCTTTACTAATAGTAAATGCCTATATATAGCTTGATATAAAGGAAATTAGACAAGAGAAGAATTTTAAAAAGAACATAACAATGAGGAATAAGAAAGAAAGGCGAAGGAGAAAATAACACTTTAATTGCCAAATAAACCTTTGTACTTTCTTAAAATTAAGTGCAATTAAAAATTCTGTTAGTTTTTAATGCAAAAATCAAAGTAAAATAAAATAAGACAAAATGCAAAAAAAGGGACCCATAAAGTACCAAAAAAGTATGATTTATAAGGCTATTTATGATCTATCCCCAAATTATTGAAATTTGAAATAACTAGCCAAAGAAATGAAATCTGTATGAAGTCCCCAAATTGTTTAAATTACACCAAATAGGTCCATGCAGTGTGTTAACTTAACTGTGTTGTCCCTAATGTCATTAAATCTTCCCGCTATACCCCTAGTTCTTTCTTCTTCCAGTAATAGTTCAGCTCTGAGCACTCAATCCACTTGTTCATCCCTGTTGTCAATATCAAGTTGTGCTCTCTGCCTTGTGCCAATGATGAACCCCCTCGTGATCCAAGACATCATCCAAATGCCCTTTAAGAGAGTTACGGCTCCTCAGATAGAGAGAAGATGGGTTCAGGCATGACTACGTAACAAGGCACACTCCCTGATCATTCTCTTATCCTCTTTGAGAGCTGACCCTTCGACCAATCCTCCAATTAACTGCTCCTGCTAAGGAATAAAGACCCTCCATTGCCCAAGGGAGGTTTGCTACATGGCAAGGAAGGTTCTTCCTGCCTACGTAACAAAGAAACCAATGTATCGCACTAAACAGCTTTCCCAACATTGAATTTTTTTATCCTCGCCTGCAGGAGCTTGGTACAGATCCACAATCGGACTTCATTATATATGTCAACGCCTGATGTGCCTATATCACCTTGTATATCCCCTAGTAGGAGTTGTCATGATGATGAACTCTGAGCCTCTTTGATGACGAATTTGACTTGTCTTTGGCTCTTGCTCTCCTTCCTCCTCTCTCCTTTATCTTATCTTCAACCCTATCAAGCAGCAGAATCTTCATTGTAGCAAAAAACTTGGACAGGCCATATCCCTGGACAACATCCATAACTGGCCTAGACACCAGCAGTCATATTGATGTAAAGATCCTCCAAAAATGTTGACAAGGCAAAGCATAGTAGTACAGATGATGATTAAGTGGAATACAATGGCAAGGATGAATCCAACCTTCATCTTAATCTTCTTACATCTGACCCTCCTTAACCTCGCAAAAGTAGTTGTTGCAAGGTTGGAGATAGAGGAGAGGTGGGATAGCTGGAGGTGGAGGATGTAGGAGAGCATGGAGGAGGATGTCGATGAACACAAAGGCAAAGAAGACGAAGCTGACGGAGAAGACCACGGTGCACATCCTGATGATGCAGAAGTGGAGTCGACAATGGGATGGGTAGGGTTAACATAGGTAGGCTTAGTTTAATTGTGTTCTTAACGAGATATGAGTTAAAATTTAAAGGTAAATCACTAACATAGACTATTTGGTGTTTCATGTTACTTAAAAAAGTTTGGGTCTTAATAGAGATTCCACTTGGGGGATCAATATCAGAAATAAAACCATTTAAAAAAATATTGGTATTAGAACATAGTATTAATAAATATCCAAATACCATAACTTCATATTAGAACATAGCATTAATAAATATCCAAACACCATAACTTCATAACAGCATCGTTATTCAAAGATATGCATCAGTACAGAATTCATCAAAGTACACAAAAGCTAAACGTAAAACGTATCATTGTATAATTTGATACGCTGGAATTGTAGGTTTCATTTCTTGCTGAAAATCCTCCATAATTAGCAAATAATATGACAGAGAAACAAGGAGAAGTATTGAGTCCAGATTTCAAAGATATACATCAGTACAGAATTCATCAAAGTACACAAAAGCTAAAAGTAAAACGTATCATTGTATAATTTGATACGGTGGAATTGTAGGTTTCATTTCTTGCTGAAAAAACTCCATAATTAGCAAATAATATGACAGAGAAACAAGGAGAAGTATTGGGTCCAGGTTTCAATTTGTAGTAACCATGTTAACGTACAACCTAATATAATCAGATATATAGTTGAAATAAGGATCCAATTGAAAGAAATACCACCTTCAGAATCCAAAGGCCAAATATGCTTAGACAAAGCTTTGTTCATCTGAAACATGTCAATTTTTTTCACATTGAATAGATTTTGCATTCTCTCGTCACATAATATTTTTCTCCTGTTGCTTGGATCTTGCAGACTGTTTTCACGAATATAGGCCCAGATTCTCTTCACCACCTGAAAATGAACACAAGAGATAAGAACGTAAGCATAATAGGATAGGTGCTGGCCCCCACAAAATTTCTTGACTTAATGTGAACTGAAGATACATAAAATAATCATGAAATTTTTAAAACATTGCCTCCGTTCTGGCCAACTCAGTTTCACCAAGAAACTCCTGGAGTTGTGGGGAAAGACTGCATACTTTGGTGAACCCTCCACCACCCCTTTTCTTAACCTTACTCTTTGATCTGTGACACAAACAAGTATACTGATCAAGGTCATTAACAGCAGTAGCCAAAGACAAGTAAATGAGTTACGAAATAAGCCCACATGAAGGTAGCTACAAAAATGATACTCACTTTTATTAAGAAAGTCTCTCTACACTGAGTTAAAGTGTAAGAAATCAACATGTTAGTAATGTGCTCAATATATACGTAAGCCATTAGTTCTGTGTAGCTAGAAGATACAAATTTCAAACCAATAAGCTTTTGACACACATAATATTCCGTTACAACCAGAAACTATTAGATTTCTGGAAGAAGTTGAAGTTCAATAGAAGCAAAAAAAATGTGCTGGAATACTGCAATTTAAATAATTAGAATATGGAACAAACTATGTTCCTCAACTGATAAATTTCTCTTACTCAACTGAAACTGAAAGTATCAAGAAGCAAGAGTAAAAGCTGGCACCTAAAGCAACAACATGCCGTACGTGTGGTTGAATATCTAAGATATGCAACTATGCTCTTTACATCTTTTGCTATGAAATAAAGAAGAAGAAAAATCATTTTTATTCCATCCATGGTTGAATCAAGAAATATAATTCAGGACATTGACATAGCATGTAAAGACTTTGTTGTTCCACACAGATAAAATGGCATCACCCTTTATCCAACTACCTTATGAAACAGATTCAACAAAACCTAGAAGCTTCTTACTTTTCACTTAAAGCTCTTTTGTTCATGATTTTTTCTTGATTAAATTGTGCCATAAATTGCATAACATTTCATAAGTACCAAACAGCATTTTCGCTATGGAGCTTCCTTGGATGTGCTTTAAGCATAAGGTTAACATTTGTGGGTAGCCCATATACATAAAATTCTAGTCTTTACACCTCTTTCATCCAAAGCTTACCCTTTCAGGCTATGTGCTTTGCACTTCACATTAGCTATAGTATACAAATTTCCTCAATTTTTCCATTCACCATTCTTCATTAAACAGATAATGCTTCAGAAGAACTAAGATTAAACAAGTAATTTCAGAACTCATCCAAATGAAGAATGAAATGAAACATCAAAAGAAGCTGTGAGTGCAATGGTACAAATGAAAACATTCGCATACAGATATAGTTACAGAAAACTAGCTGTATTTATCCCAAATCCCTTGTCCTGAGTCTCCTGACAATAGGAACCTAAGAAGGGGGAAAAACTACAAATCACATTCCATCCATATGGAATGCCAATGAATACCGTCTAACATGACTAAATACTTACCCGCTTGTATCATCATCCAAATAAAACACATTCAACTAAAGGACACTGAAGAAAATAGTAACTCTTAGAGTAACTAAACGAGGGGAAATATTAAGGAACCTATTCCCTCAATATGACAACAAACCAACCAAAGTAGTATGCTAACATAAATGTAAGCTAAACGGGAAGAGAAAAAAAAGAACTTTCGTATAAACTTTTCATTTCTAATGCATACTGAATTATCATATAATCACCCAATGTCAGGACTCAGGAGCTAATTATTTGAACAATTTAATTATTTGATGTTTCACTGAAACCTAGAAACCCAAAAGATCAAAGAGACTCAACAATTTGACTTTGAAAATTTTTTTGCTACCAGCTGTATATGTAACAAAATGTCTGAACCAACTATTTGCACATTCTCATACAGTTGTACCAATCTAAAAGAACAAACACTAATTAGCGAAATACACATAATATGATACTGACACAAAGGTGCTCATTTACTATTATTCGCCAATA